TTATATTAAAGCTTTAGAAATCCTTCCCACACTCTTGCAATGTTCTAAACTCATAAACCTATGCAATTTTAATAACATACATTACTAAATTTTACTTACTAGCTCTGCAGAACAGCAGTGGCTCGGTTCTGGTCCAGCTCTGTTCTATTCCAACTCGGTTCATTTCTGGAGACCTATCCTGCAGCGATGAAGCCCACAAATCAGTCCCAAAACTCATAAACCTGCTAATTTTAACATACAGTACTTATATGTACCTACTACATTTTACTTCCAAGTGCTCTGCAGAACAACAACGGTTCGGTTCCATCTGACCTGATGGGTGGAAAAAAAAGTCCCGGTGCAGTATGATGAAGCCCCATCCAGCTTGATGTGCACGTGCTGCTGCTCCAGGAGCAAGGCTGCCCAGGATTTAGTCCATCAACTCTGACCTGGTCCTGACTAGCACCGCGCGACCAGAATCAGGCTGAATCCCGCAGCCGTCTGTCGCCTGCAGTGGAGGGAGCTTGTGGGTCCTCCCCCTTAAATTTGTGAATAAAGTAGATGCTATTTCCTGCATTTTGGTGTAGCCTATTTTAACGAGTTGTTAAACATCTATGTTTACCTATATTTTTAAATGCTTGATTAAATTAGAGAGCAACAACAGGTTGTGTGTGAATAGAGCAGCTATGATTCTGTCAAGCACCCCCCCCCCCCCCCACACACACACACACACTTCATGTTTCTGAGCTGAACTCTTGTCTGCTGAATTAATTCCTGCTCATTGTTGCTCCTGCTGCTCCAACCTCAATTACCACTGCCTTCTCAGTTGTCCAACTAAGGACAATCCATCCATCTGTCTATTTAATGAAAGTAAACTGGTCTTTTCGATATTTTGATCGCCGTTATTTTTAGCACAATGTTTTGATACATGATTAATGTGAATAATACACATTAAACATTTATCTTGTTTTTTTTGTTTGTTTGTTTTTTTTACTGTAGCTAAGCTTTTTTCTTATTTATTATGTCTGAAACGTATGCGTGACTTCACATCAGCAGTTGTGCGCTCAGAGCTGTCTGGAGACGCTCATGTGGGTTAAGTATGGCAAGCCAAGTGGCCCATTAATAGCCACTTTTACCACATGTCTGACTATTAATGGGACACTAGGCTTGCCATACAAAGAAAGACACTTCATCCCCGTGGGACATCCATGTCTCTGCTGGGCAGGAGTGTATGCGCGAGCTGGTGCACCTGCTGCAGCGTAATATCCACTCTGAAGACTGGGCAGTGTCTCCTCTCGTTGTATTTTTAATAAATAATCCCCCCCCCCAAAAAAAATGTGCGATGACTTTGGACTTTTGGGGGCAGAGATTTGAGTTGCCAGATCCGAGCAAACAGTTGCCGGAATGCGCCCGGTCAAAATGAGTGTTCCCGGATCTTGTTCCAGCAGGATCAATCTCGAATAAAGCACTGCTTCTGGGTATCGTAGTTCTTTAGACTGGCAAAACAGTGAAGGCTTAATGAAAGAAAACTACAAAATGGTGGCATATTTTTATTCATTTTTTATGTATTTGTTTATTTATGTGAAAATATTATTTACAGTACTGTATGTCCACAAAACGTGATAGAGCGAGTCCACGAAAATCCAACCACCAAGTAGTGAGGGAGTACTGTATTTTGTTAAACCTTGTTGTTCTAGTAGAGAGACATCCCAAACACATACTTTTAATTTTTGGATAAGATCTGTTTATAAAACTGTGCCTTTAACTAGTCAACACTGTCTGTTTGCTAGCAAAATATCTCATAAAGCACTGAACATATTTTACTAAACTATAGCTCAGCTAGATTTACAAATTTCAAGCTAATATTTGGTGTGTTGGTAGCTGAGACAGAGCCGAAACACATTTTGCATTTTATTATACATTTTTATTTAATGTTTACATTTTATTTAGTTTACACCATTAGTAAATTTTGGCATCTGACCTGTTTAATAGCATAAAATCTCACAAACTATTGGGTTGATTGTAATGAAACTCTAAAAGTAATAATTAGATTTTAATGTATAACTGATTGACTTTTAGAGCCACTCCAATTACAGATTGCCATCACAGTTATTCATTATTAGTCAATGCGAAATCCTTCGAAATCAGTCAATTCTGCATACATTGAGCTTAAATTTAGTGTGGTAGTAGCTGAGAATAATTCACAACATGTACTCTGAGCTACATTGCATTCACTAAAATCTCACAAAACGACATGCAACTATGCATAAGTCTATTTACATCTCTCATCAGCATAACATAATTGAAGTTTAAAACACAGCAGGTGATATTCATTGCTTCAAGGAATGGTAGACCTTTAAGTTTAGGTCATAAAATATTTAGAACAATCAATTAAAATGTGTGAAAATGGTCAGTTTTTAAGATTCATCACACCTACAGTGTTTTTGTTTTATTTTATTTTATTTTTGTATATGATTTAAAATCTTAAGCCATAAAGTCATGAAATCCCAAATAAGGATGTTGATCCTCTGTCATGTTTTCCACTGTGACTGTCCTCTGTGTTCTTTAGCTGTCCCGATTCAATGTCATCCTAAAAAAAAGCAGTTAACAGATCATTTACTTCGACTTTCTCCTTTTATTGCTCGGCTGTGCTCTGCACATGTGAAGTACAAAGCCTATAATAAAAAAGAGAAAGTAAACTGAAGTCCAGTTTGACGGAACATAACTTGTGTTTATGACACTGCAGCAAACAAGGACAGGTTTATGAGCCACCGGAAAAGTGATACATCATGTGTTTGTGTGATTCATGAGGTGCTTATTAAACTGCTGCTGAGAGTTTGTTCTAAGCCACTCATCTGGAAATAAAGTGTTGGACCCTGTCAAGAGAAATTTAATTATTTTCTCCCATAGTCAAAATGTTTTTTTTTTCATTCAACCTTTATTTATACAGTTAAATCCCATTGGGCCTCGGGGACTCATTTACCAGAGAGACCTGGTTCTAACAAAGAGTGATGACAACAGAGGACAACAAAGACCACAGTAGACAATCATAAAATGATGTATACAAAATGAGAATAACAAGCGAAAATAAAATGGTATTTAAAAAAAAAGTTACATAAATAATAGCTAGAAACAAGAACATGTCTGTATTGGTTTTTGCCAGGAACTTAGCAGATGTTTGAAGCTACTTAGAGAGGTCAAGGCTGAGAGCTTCAGATCTTTTTCAAGATATTCCAGGAAACGGGCAGAGTAGGAGAAGGCCCTTTTGCCTTATTCAGTCCACACTGAGGGAACACTGCAGGTAATGATGTCCTGAGAGTGCACACTGTAGCTGCACTCACGCAGTGACATGGAGGAGCTATAAGAAGGCAACAGACCAAGATGTGATTTAAAGATGAAAATGTACCAGTAGGAGAGTCTGCGTGAAGTTAATGATGTCCAGTTAACCAGTGAATACAGGGTGCAGTGATGGGTACGATAGTTACAGCCAGTTATGAATCTTAGCGCACCATGATTGGCAGCGTCCAGCATCTGTAAGGTGCTTGCAGTAGCATTCACGCAAATAATGTCACCGTAATCAATAGAGGGAAGGAAAGTCGCAGTTACAAGGCGTTTCCGATCATTCAGAGTTCGATGTGATCTATTTCTGAAAAAAGAAACCCAATTTAACTTTCAGTTTGTTTGTTTGTTTTTTTTTTTGTTTTTTTTTTAACTAAGGTTTCCATGTGGAACTTAAGAGAGATGCGAATCGACCAAGATACCCAAATATTTGTAGGAATCAACCAACTCAATAGGAGCACCATTCGAGGATAAAATCAAAGGAAGAACTGCTGGGATGACTTCCTGTTTGAAAACGACATCCCTTTGGTTTTGTCGGCATTTAGGACAAGTTTGAGATAAAACTAATCTGACTGGATGATGTCAAAAGCAGATTGCAAAAGCTGGAAAACCTTAGCAACTGTTTTAGCTTGACAATAAGCAACTGTATCATCAGCATAGAAATGTTAGGATGCATCAGGGATGCTCTGACATACATTACCTATGTAGCTTGTAAAGAGGGTGGGTCCTAAGACTGAGCCTTGTGGTACATCATTTGTTGAGAATAAAGAAAATGTTGAGAATATAAACTCTTTGCAGACATGTTTGAGCTAATTTTATTTTTATTTTTTTTGTTTTTTTTGTTATTCTAAAGAAGATTCATTCAGACTGTGTGTACAGGGAAGATGAATGACTATGCTGCTACTAAGGATCAAGCAATTGCAGTTGACAGTTTTCAAGAGGCTGAACAGGGAGGATTGAAAATGGATAAGTCTGAGATATGTGTTGTGTTGTAGACACTGAGCTGTATAAACCAAATATTAAATGGTAGATTTTATGAACAAGGTGTACAAGGATTCAGTTCAAAGAATGTCATTGATGTCATCTGCTTTGTTTTGTTGTAACACACGTCTGAGAATAGGTTTTTGCTGAACTTTATGTGCATGTAAATACTAAAAATTGTGAATAAAAAAAACCTCCCTAAAAGTTATTGTGCTACTAGACTGCTAGAGAACATACCGATAAAAACATACAGCATAATTAACTTTGAATTGGCAGTTCTGACAAATATATTTTGTACTAATTGGAATTTTTTTCAGCCAAAGATTTGAGTGGCACAGATGTTAAAGGTAGTATCTCACCAAGCCAATTTTCTTGGAATTTTCCCATAATTTATTTTGAGTCGCCAGCTAATCTCCAACAGTTGCAGCCCAGTGAGATAAGAACGTATATCTTTGAAATTGCATGGATTTGTAAATAAGGTTAAGTTCATTCAGCATTTGTGATGGCACATTGCATGTCATTAACTGAATACCTGTAATGCTTTGGTCCCATTAACATCAGAAAATAAAGGAAAAATGGGATAATTAAAACGGGTTACAGATAGATCTCTATAATCTGATTAATACTTTTGTTTTTCCTTTTTTGTGATTAGTTGGATGTTTGCTAATATATATATATATATTATTTTTATCTTTTAACAGTGAACCTGCTGGATTCTCGCTCTGTGATGGGAGACCTAGGATGGGTGGCTTATCCTAAAAATGGGGTAGGTGTAATCATCACTAACTTTGAATGTCTCAACCTACAAAGTTAAACAATTACATTTACCATACATATATAGGGATGCCTAAAAGCTATCCATCCACTTATTCCTGTGTCGGGTGGAGCAGCTTGAGCTATAATCAACTGAATCAAATGAATAAAATATAAGATACCTACAATCCATAATTTTAATTATGTATGTTGAACATTTTGAAGCGCACACACAGTTTAGCTTCATTAGTGAAACTACTCGGATACTTTAGACTCATTGTTTTGGTCTTGACATTCCTCACATCCTATTTCACGATACAGATCAAATGTTTCATTTGTTTTATTGAGGTTAAAGGTCATTTCATTTCTAGAAACTCCCTGCTCGTTTTCAGAGTAAATTGAATTCATGAATAAGATATTGAAAGTCACCGCGGAATAAATTATTCTCAAGCCAGGAGTTGAATATCCATCTCTAAGTATTCCCAAAGTGAAAGCTAATTAGAGAATGACTTACCAAAAACTGGAGTTATATTATATTTTTTAAATATATTCGTTAAATATATTTCCATTAAAAAAGGACAATTTCAGCACTATCTTGACAATAGGTTAGAATTTAACATTTGATATGAAAAATATTCACCTTCAAACAGCTTTAATACTGTTTTTGGTTTAAGGAATATATACTATGTGCATTCATTTAATTCATATGAAAAATCTCAGAATTGCAACTCCTGTCTGCAAAATTGCAAGTAAACCCAATGAAGCAATTGTGCTGATCTTGGTGTTTTCTCAGCTTTGAGTGTTCAAATTGTGGCTCAGTCTGTGGCTGTTCAGTCCATAGATGGAAAAGATAGTGCTGACAAAAGCAGGCACTCATATTAATGAAGAAGTGATTGTGTTGTGCGTTTGTGTGTGTGTTTCCAGCGTTACAGGAACACAACTACACACAGGAAATAAGACATGATAAAACATATTAAAATGTCCCTGATGAAATCATCATTAGATGTTCATTAATTATGTTTATTTTTAATCCGTATTCCAGTCCATACATGTGACAACTTTGATTTTATTTTTATTTTTTTCAGTTTTGCTTGTAAAAATACATCAATTATAGTGATTAACTGTTATAGAACATTTTTAGCTTTTATACTGAAGCCTCCCATCTGTGGCACAAAAACACCCACACTCACACGTCTTCAAGTCTTGGCTGAATAAGTTGTTGAAAAGGCACACAAAGTCTGTATTCCTTCAAAGAAAGTTTAGAGAGACTGGCATTTTGTTATTTATATTTTGGAGTTGTGAATCCCTTGGAATTGTGATGAAACACCAATGACACTAAAATAATGATAATAACGACTACAACAACAATGACTACATCGATTTAAACAACAACGATTAAAACAACAACGATTAAATGCCGATTAAAATGCCAATTATAACGACGAATATAACATCGAATATAATGACGATTATAACGACAATTGTAATCATGATGATTATAAATATTATAATAATTATTATAATGATTATAATAACAATTATTATATTGATTATATCCATCCATCCATCCATCCATTATCTTTACCCGCTTGTTCCATTTTGGGTCACGGGGGTCGCCGGTGCCCATGTCCAGCAATCACTGTGCGAGGGGCGGGGTACACCCTGGACGGGTCGCAAGTCCATCACAGGGACACATAGAGACAAACGAGACAAACAACCATTCACTCTCTCACTCACACCTAGGGACAATTTAGAGTTACCAATCAGCCTAACATGCATGTTTTTGGTCTGTGGGAGGAAACCGGAGTACCCGGAGAAAACCCACGCATGCGCAGAGAGAACATGCAAACTCCACCCAGAAAGGCCCCTGGACCGGGGTTTGAACCAAGGACCTGCTCGCTGCAAGGCAGCAGCTCTACCAGCTGTGCCACCGTGCTGCCATAATGATTATAATAACAACAATTATAATGATTATAATAACAATGATTATAATGAATATAATAGCAATGATTATGATTATAATAGCAATGATTATGATTATAATAACAATGATTATGATTATAATAACAATTAATATAACTATAATAACAATGATTATAATGATTATAATAACAACGATTATAATGATTATAACAACAATTATGATTATAATAACAATGATTATAATGAATATAATAGCAATGATTATGATTATAATAACAATGATTATAATGATTATAATAACAATTATTATGATTCTAATAACAATGATTATAATGATTACAAAAACAGTGATTATAATGATTATAATAACAATGATTATAATGATTATAATAACAACGATTATAATGATTATAATAATAACAACGATTAAAATCATAACAATAATACTGATAATAATAATAATGATAATAATAGTAATAAGTATTAACTGAGGCTTCAAATAGACAGCCATAATTGTCAATTTATTATCGTACCAGAAAAGGTTAAAAAAAACAGGGCACTTCCACTTGTGGCCCGGGGGCTAAATCAGGCCCATGGGTGAGCTCAGTTTGGCCTACCAATATGTTCATTTTTAAATGAGACTAGATTTTAAACCGTGAAACAAACTTATTAATGAGGATAACTGCTGGATGTCCGGCCCCTGAACTCTTGGTTTTCAGAAACTGTGGACCCTGAGCAATTTAGTTGAATAGCCCTGTTCTAAAGACACCAGGACAATAGATGTTTTATGTAGACGTATGGGAAATGAGATATAAAAAATATTATGACAGGCTGATATTTATCCTGTCAATTTAGAAAAATAATTAATAATGAGCCTGCTTGTGCTTTTAAGATTATATATTTTGTTTTGACAATGGGAAGTGATGGCACAGAAGTTAGAGAATGCGGGTCTGTGATCGGAAATTTGGTGGTGCATCTGAGCTGCCTCGCTCTGGACACTTGAGCGAGGCCATTAACCCCCACCATCTGCTCCCCCCGGCGCCCTAGATGGCAGCTCTCTGCTCCACACGGAGGGCTGTGGCAGCTCAGTGGCCTGTGGTTGCGTTAGGACGGGTGTCCGGTGTAAAAACAATTGCCAAGTCTTCATGCGAGTTAGTTTGCTGTGGCAAACCCTGAGAAAGGAGCAGCCAACAGAAAAAAAAAAAAATATATATATATATATATATAGAGAAAAAAGTATACTTAACAGACTTAGAACAACAATCAATATGTACTGAATAAAAACAAAGAAAAAAACCGGGCCTTGTATTTACAGCTATACTTTATTTCACTTCCAACACTTACCAGTAAAATGTCTAATACCTCCATTCTTTCTTTGTCCTACTCCATTGGAGCTGCTCACACTTGTAGATTGCTGCTGATTGTACGACATCAGGTGGTTCTTTTTATCTACAGCTTCAAGCATCACAAAGGTACAATAATAAACCAAGAGATGTCTGTAAAGCAGGTGACATTAAAGTGACACATTTTACTAAAAGGTTTATTGTTGTTGTCAGTCCCATCCTATTACTTCCTGTCAGTTGGATAAATCCTCAAATCATTTTGCTCTATCTGTATCTAAACATCAATAGACGATGGATGATTGTACCGTGGGCCCTACAACAAAGCAGACAACTTGTGATGACAAAAGAAAACTGATGAAATGTGCCATGTGGTCTTACTTCACTTCAGTTTTTGTATTGAACCTTTCATGAAATGAGAGAAGAAAAACTGACTGCTAGCTGAAAAACCATGTGCACATGTCTCAGAAAATTATTAAATACCAGATCAGTGTGCCATTTTCACAACAGTATTAATAAATTAAAATGTATTCTGTGCATGGTTTAGATACAGACTGGATATTATATCTCAAATATCTAAAAAAGTTAAGTCTGGTCCTCTGGACATTCAAAAAACAAACCAAAAAAAATAAAAATTGTAGAAATGTTTCGTCTTTCATTCGAAAGACCTCTTCAGTCTGAGTCCAGAGGACCAGACTTAACTTTTTTAGATTTTTCTACCTGGATTATTGAGCATGCATCAGAAGATTTCTGAAATATGTTTTTTTTTTTTTTTATCTTCAGTCTGCTTAAAAAGATCTGAACCAAAGATAATACAAACTACAACAGAAACAGATCATCTAATGTTGACAATGGTTAAAGATCCATCCATCCATCTGTCTATTGGTTATTTTTTACCCACATTTTCCTTTCCAGGTCACGGGGGTCACATGGCCACACAGAGACCAAGACAAACAACACTCTCACTCACACCTAGGAACAATTTAGAGTTACCAATCAGCCTAACATGCATGTTTTTAGTCTGTGGGAGGAAAACGGAGTACCTGGGAAAAAAACATACATGCACGGAGAGAACATGCAAACTCCACCCAGGGTTGAATCTGGGGACCTTCTTGCTGGGAGGCAGCTCTACCAACTGTGCCACCATGCTGCCCTCAACATTACATCCATTTTGTTCAAATTTTTCAAATTACCATATTTGCGCTATGTAACATTGAGGCATAAGGAAATTTTTGCACTTGGACAATATTTTGAGGTAAACTTTCAGTTAAATCGGCAACATTAGCTCAATATTTTTAAAACTGAGTTAAAGCCATTTTTTTTGTCTCTGTTACAGTTGATTATTTTGGTTACAGCTGATTTACTTCTTGTTGCTGTGTTCATTTGTCCTTATCTGCTCACACAGTCTCATGTCCATGTTGCTGTCGTTTGTCGCATTGTTTCCTACTATTAGTGCTTAGTGTATTCTTAGTTTAGCGTATTTCTTAGTTCATATTTTAGATCTTACTACTGTTTTTCTTTACAATTTGTATTTTTGTTGGATGTAACTGGGACCCTGTGTACATAGTTTCATTCCATCGCATGTACCACATGTTGTGTGAATGACAATAAAGACACCTTGACCTTAATTAACTCTGACGGCCATCTTGATTTGCATCTCTCTTTTAAGCTTCACGTGGAAAACCTAGTAAGGAAACTGAAAGTTAAACTGGGTTTCTTTTTCAGAATAGATCTTGTTTAGCTCTGAATG